AAAGTACTTATTAAATCTTGGCATTTAATGTTCCTATCAGGCATTTGTAGCCTCAGTTTAGGATGATAAGATATTCAGTTAAGCATCTTCTACTTATTCCTCATACCTCATTATCACTCCAGTGAACCCACAACTAAACCACTGTGACTTTTCTCATTTTTACCCAAGCCAGCCTTTGATTTCTCTGAATGAGAACAATATTTTCATGCCATTTAGATTAATATCAATTGTTATGTGGGCCCATTCCTAGCAAAAGCTTAATCTGGGGGAACGAGATGGGTGAGAGTTAGCGAGGGACAATGCTGTATGCAATAGTGAGAGTGGTAGAGCCTGATCCTTGGTGGGAGGTGGGTACAGTAACATGGTGCATGAATGTCAAGTAAGGGAGAGAGAAAATGTTGGCACTAACTCTCGTGGAACACCAAAGGTCATTAACTTCCTTCCTGCACTGCTGAACCATTGAAACAGCAGTCACTCAGATCACAACTTTGGACCAGGATGGCAGGTTCTGATGCCATGGTCTCTTCTGGTGGTCCTGAGCAAAGAGGACAGCCTCCCTCTACACCACCCATGAACACCAGGACCTCCAGGTTGCTGACTATCAATTGCAATTTGCAATTTGCCTGAAATGACCCAGGAACTATGAAGGGCTGGCCATTCTTGGCTTGCAGATTTTGAACTAACGTGTAGCTGGGCTTTAAATATGGTGCTGACAGCATAAATGTTGGAAGGTCTTGGCAGCGGCAAACACTTCTATTGCTGAGATAAGGTCATACAAGAGTGATGCTGTGGAGATGTGGTGCAATCTTTGAGGTAAGCATCACAGTGTTGTGTGAGAAAAGTTGCTGGAGCTCAGGGAGAGGAAAAGCAATTCAATATTAATGATTGAATCTCTTTTTCTTCACGGCCCATGTAGACATAGTCTACAAATTTTTCTTTACCACTTTTTTTTTTGAAATCCATGTATTGGTCTGGTATAGCTTTTTCAAAAAAATCTACATATATATCCAAAGAAAGCTTTAACGTTGTGCATATAAACTGCCACATAGTTGACCACTATAATATCTCCTATCTTGAAGGTTCATAAATGTTTCTTTTCTCATTAAGGTAGCAAATGGTGAAAACAATTCAAATTAAACTTTTGAAAGTCCCAATGATTAATTTATAAGACTTTTATTTTCATCAACATTTGGCCAGGGAATAAAAATACTTATTTTTGCTTATCTTAGGTGTTAATTCCTTTACCTATTACTCATGCTGTAATTGATTCAAGCCCCAGTTTATAACCTAAGCTCTTTTGTAGTACTGTTGTACAATGCTGTACCGTTGGGGATACTTGCAAGGAGTTACCGAACTGAGGCTTGTTCATGTGTAAGTTAAAACTTGACACCCATATCATTATGTAAAAAAGCATGGAATTTTTCTAGTAATCTGACTAATATCCCTTTCTTGGACAAAAAAACCAAATAATTTTTTTTACCTCATTGCTATTTATACCGTCTTACCTTGTGAAATGCGAATTTTGCATTTACCAAAATATTTTCTTGCATTCATTTATCATATTTATTTCACTTTTCACATATTTCCAGAGCAATTTTATGGATTTTGAAAAAATAATCTAGATCAGTTTTTACTGATTTTCTCTTGACAGTGATAGCCAACAAGATTTTCTGAAATCCAGTCATTTTAATGAGTCTCACAGGATTTGTTTTGTTTTATTCTTATCAACCTACACACAGAGACTAGGCTAACTGTAACATAGTATTCTTATCGAGAACATCATTAAGACATTAATTCTTCAGTAAAATAAATTAAAATAAAAATATTGGATTAGAAGGGCATTAACCTGCAATTATAAAGTACCTTAATGATTCTCAAATGTTTGAAAACACTTTAGAACCAATTTAATAGTGTGAAGTAAAACAGAGTCACACTAATTTTGTAGACAAACAAAGCAACCAATTTGTACAAATAGCAATTAGTTGAATCGGCAATTATTCTTATTTTGATGATGATGGTTGAGTGGAGAATATTGGGAAAGATACAGGAGAACTCCCTGTGCTTAATATTTAATTATTGTTCTCATAAATATGATTATGATTTAATTTTTCAACTACACCTCTGTTGAAGAAGAACTCTCTCAATACGACACTGAAAAATAGGACTTAATCATGTACGCAAATACTGTCAAACTTGATCCCACAACTGACTTAAGAGTGAGATTGTGTGATTTTTTTTTGCCTGGTCTTTACGATCTATTTTCATCCTTGTATTTTCGTGCAAATTTCCATATATTTAAAAGGTAATGACAGTTGTTACAAAAACAGGGAAAAGCTAAAGCCTCAGAGATGTAAGAACTGCCGATGCTGGAGTCAGAGATAACACAGTGTGGAGCTGGAGGAGCACAGCAGAACAGGCAGCATCAGAGGAGCAGGAAAGTTGACAAGCCTATGTATTTTTGTTATGTAGCTTCATTTAATAAGCTATATGCAGATTTCTTTATATTAAAGATAATTCTTTGTTTTGAGGTTTGTTGTTTTGCAGCACTCTTTCATTGACTGGAAATATTTACCTCCGATTGTGACCAGTTTTATTTTCACTTTCAGTAGTTTTAACAAAATATAACACATTATAAAGAGAAACTGAGAAATGAGCAAAAGGGAGGAAGACTGGAAAAAGAAAAAGGAAACAATAAATCTGAGCTGACATGTACAGCTAATGTCGTGTTAATGAAGAGCCAACATGAGAATTTATTGTCATGATTCCAACACTTTAAGTCTATAGGTTTAACATGTGCTGAGGAGGCAAATAGACTGAAATTACCCTTGGGTGTAATTGAATCAGTAGCCTGTTCATGTTCTACTTGATTTTCATACCATTGACTTCAATCAGCTGAAGTGTAAAAACAGCTGATGTGCTATTGCTCACTGCCCAAGAGTGAAATTGGTCTTTGAAGCAGCACAAAATGATTTAATCAGTGGTGGACCAAAAGTTGGCAGAATACAAAACTGAATGAACAATTCATAATTGCTCATTTTATGCACTTGCTAAAGGCTAATTTCACCCTGTCGTGTCACCCTGTTTATCATCCACCAGTCACTGCCTCATTGCGCATGATTTGCCACATGCAGTCATTTAATGCTCTCTCTTCAAATATTCAGCACTTACCTATGGTTTCCTCCCACAATCCCGTACCCTCTCTCACTAACCCCTTCATATTGTTGTCTATTCTATTCCAGACACCAATAATTTGAATGTTGGAATCAAAAGAAATATTTTCTAGTTTGCTGATACAAAAAATCTAGGTAAGACTACAAGTGGCGAGGAGGTAGTAACAAGGCTTCAACGTTATTTAGACAAGTTGAGCAAGTGAGTAAACAATTGACAGATGCAGAATAACATGGATGAGTGTGAAATTATCCATTTCAGGAGGAAAACCAAGGTGGCAGAGTATTATTTAAGTGGTGATAGTTTGTGAAGTGTTGCTGTAAAGATAATCCTGGGTGTTCTTAGACATCGGTAAGCATTCGTGTACAGTGAGCATTTAGGATGGCAAATGATATGTTGGCTTTCATTACAAGAGAGTTTGAATAAAGGAGCATAGATGTCTTACTGCAGCTGTACAGGGCCTTAGCACACTTGAAATATTGTGCAAATTTTTGGTCTTCTTACCTAAGTAAAAGTATATTTTTCAAAGAAGAACTGCAATTGGGTTCATCCAATTGATTCCTAGGATGGCAGGTTTGTCATATGAGAAGGATTGAGTCGACTGGGTCTGTTTTCACTGGAGTCAAGAAGAATGAGAGGGGATCTCAGTGAAATGCATAAAATTCTGGTAGGGCTTGAGAAACCGGAGGCAGTGATGATGTTTCACCTGGCTGTAGGCTTCCAAACCAAGGACCATGATCTCAGGATATGTGGTGTGTCATTTTGAACTGAGATGAGATGAAATGTCTTCGCTCAGAGGGTGGTGAACCTGTGAAATTCTCTACCATACAAGGCTGTGACGATGAAGTCACTGGATATATGAAAGAAAGAAATAGATTTCTCAAGGCTAAATGTGTCAAAGGGTATTGGGGGAGAACACAAGTATGACATTGAGATAGAGGATCAGCCATGGTCATAATAAATGGCAAGCAGGCTCAATGAGTAGAATAGCCCTTCTCTTGTTCCTATTTTCTATATTTCTATGTCTCTGTGTTTCTCTCAAACACAATCCTCATTTTCTCTCATTAATGTTTCATACCTCCAGCCACATGAACAGACAAGTCCATCACTTCCTCACTCTCACTCACCCTGTCTCACTCATTGTTTCTCACTGGGGATAAATTAGAGCTTGGGCAATATAGGCGATATGAGTCAGTTGTATGTCACATTTTGCTCTCTAATTGAAATCGAAATCTGGAGAGATGAGTAACAACTCTGGCTCAATATCGTACACTTTATATTATTGCTCATAGTCAAAATTACCCTAGCCGTCTAAAGTTACACACTGTCTCATTCACTTGCTCCCTCTATTAAATATTTATTCATTGCTATCTCTTTCTAGGATACATTCTTTAATAAATCACTGTTGGATTACCGAAAATTCATTGAGCCTGTCCAGCATAGAAAAAAAGGAGCTACAGGTTACAGAAATCATATAATTCAATTACTGTAACATGATTTAAAAACAGACCCTGTAGCTAATTTGCAATCTGCCAGATCCTTCATTTCTCATTCCTGTATTGACCTGAGCTGTACGATATCTGTTTTGGACAGATTGGCGCACTCTCCTTAGGGAATGTACGTAAAGCTGACATTTTTACAATTTAAATATATTTTTTAGAGACTTGACTACGGATCAGTGATTCAAACCTTGCAGACTCTTACCCTAATGAACTTGCTGTTAATATCTGCTGGTGATCATATTTAATATCAAGTTTCTTATAGCAAACATTTAAGAAGTATGTGGTGCCATGAATAAACAACATTTCTGTTTTTCATATGGTGTTTCACAGGGAGATGGTCAATGCCTGGTTTGCAGACAGAGTGCACACTATTCCCACCACAAACGAAACTGTGAGAGACCTCAGCCCTATGCATCAAATGACCCAGCCTGAAAGTGCCACACCTGGGACACCTACAAGGAAAATATCTGCTTCAGAATTTGACAGGCCCCTGAGACCCATGCTTGTTAAAGATTCTATTGGGGGTTTAACATTTGTCTTTGACCCAGATAGAAAGGAACAGATGCCATTCAAGTTTCCCAAGCCTGCATGTGAAGCCAAACCTGTCAATGACCAGTGTTCCCGACTTTTAGAGCTTGTCAAGGATATTTCCAGCCATTTAGATGTTACAGCGCTCTGTCACAAAATCTTTCTCCACATCAATGAAGTCATTGCTGCTGACAGATATTCGCTCTTCCTGGTGCACGAGGACAGCTCAAATGAAAAGTTTCTCGTGAGTCAGCTCTTCGATGTTGCAGAAGGTTCCACACCTGAAGAAACTTCAAACAATTGCATCCGGTTGGAATGGAACAAAGGGATAGTTGGATATGTAGCAGCTACAGGAGAGCCACTGAATATTAAAGATGCATATGAGGTATGAACAGCTCAATCTCCTTTGGCTACACAGATGTAGGCTTAATCACTTTACAGGTACTTCTTTGTTTCTGTACAAAGCTCAGTGCACTGGCTTCAGACAATGCAATTGCATTCATGAGTGTTTCTCATGTTGATTCTGTTATCCAAAGAATGGTGCTTTTCATATCACATCTAAAAGAAAAAAATCAGAACTTTTCTACTGGTTGATTGCATGAATTTCAGTGTGCTGGGAACTAATATTAGGAAATCAAATTTAGCTTTGATTTTTGATTTCTGAAATTTTGAAGATCAGCCTACAAGGAGGTTGAGTGTCTGCAAATGTTCTCAAGATAATGTCCCAGCAATGTCAAATGATTCAGGTAAATGGTCTCTAAATTCAATAATTAACTATTTGGCAAGTCAGAAGCCACAATTTTCAATTGTTCTGTCCTCCTCCCTGGCACTGTCTGAGGCAGAACCAGATTCCTTCTAACCTTTGTGCTATATTTGACACAGAAATAAGCTTTCAACATATAGCATGAGGATCACATATTTCCATCTTCATAGCGACATCTGTCTCTAACTTCTGTGTCGGTACTTCAGCTACTAAAACGCTCCATACCTTTGTTACATTTAAACCTGACTATTCCAAAGCCCTCCTACCCAGCCTCCCACATTTTACCCTCTGTAAACTTGAGGTCATCCAGAACCCTGTTCTAACTCGCTCCAAGTGGGGCTCACAAACTCTGTGCTTGCTGACTTACCCTAGCTCCTGGCCAAATAACACCACAATTTTAAAATTCCCATCTTATTATGAAGTTCTTTCTTATCTCTAAAATCTCTTCCAGTTTTACAATCCTGTAAAATATCTGTCTGTCTCTAATTCTGACCTCTTGAATATCCCCAGTGCTAATCGTCCCCACCATTGGTGATCATGCCTTCAACTGCTCGGGATCTAAGCTTTGCAATTCTTCCCCCAAATGTTTCTGCCTCTCTTGCCTCCTTTAAACCTATCTATTTAACTAAAGTTTTGTTCATCTGCCGTAATACCTTTTTATATGGTTCCGTGCAATATTTTCTTTTATAATGCATCTGTGAACTGCCTTGGGACAATTAATTATGCGAAGCATGCTATGTAAATACAAGATGATGGTTTTGTTCATAAATACTGCCTAATATTTAAATTTCTAATATTTAGTTTATCTTTGTATTTTGCATGTCCTGATGATTTCTTCCTAATTCCAGGAGCCCTTGCAGAATTTTATTTTATTCCTAACAGCCAAAGTCTTTCATGTAATGCCTTAAATTGAGTGTCTGATTTCCATCTAGAATGAACAGGAGAAGTGCTTAAAAAGTCAATAATGGCTATTAATTTTTACTGGTCTGCTTTTGACACTGTTTTATCATTTTATAAAAATATGTGATTTCTTTACTATTTAAGTCATTGATAAAACAATAAAATGGGAGATCACCATGATGACCGCAACTAATTAAAATATCATACACTGGAACTGCTCCTGAAATTTCAATAATCAGTTCAGGCATCAGTGAAATCATTGATTAGTGAAAGGTGCCCATGTTTCAGAATTATACCTGTTTAATTATAAATCTTCCACTGGTCATTTAATTCTTGCAGCCAGCATTGTGGAATCACCATACTTATATCTGAGGGGAAAATATGTTAAACAGAACATAATTATATTTACAAGTTTTTATTTCAAAATTATAACTTATTTTTAATCATTTGAATGTCGATATTATTTGAAGGTGGCCCCCCCTTTAACACAGAATTGAAAAAGACTCTAGAGTGAGGTTAATTGTATTTTATAACATAATCAACGTACTGTTGTTTTAAACCCAGTTTAATTCTAAATGTTAGTATAAACAATAACAGTATCAAACTCTAGTATTTTTTTCATTTGATTATATGTGCTACACTGTTGCTAAGTAGATAGTTACTTTCTAACATAATACCTTCTTATATGTAATTGTGATATGCTAAAAATGATGGAAAAGCATCTGCAAAACTACTTATCCTTTAAGGAAGAAGGAAGTCATTGTTTCTACAATTTGAAATAGCAGACTAAAACACACAGTTGTTGGGAATAATCCAAAATCAAAAGCTCAATTTGTATGAGTCATTCACTTTATATATTTGCATTTCTCTGTACAAATAATACTAAAATCTGACAGATCTGTTCTCCAACTCTCACAGGATCCCAGGTTTAATGCAGAAGTTGACCAGATCACAGGATACAAGACGCAGAGTATTCTATCGATGCCAATAAAGAATCATGAAGAGGAGGTCATTGTCATTTTCTGTCACAGTATGAATTATGATTTGCTTGTGGTGTGATAAAATGAGTCTGGTTTCTGTATATAGAATCATAGAATCCCTACAGTGTGGAAGCAGGCCATTTGGCCCATTGAGTCTGCACCGACCCTCCAAAGAGCATCCCACCCAGACCCACCCCCTACCATATCCCTGCATTTCCCACCCTAGACACTATTGGCAATTTAGCATGGCTAATCCACCTAACCTGCACATCTTTGGACTGTGGGAGGAAACCAGAGCACCCAGAATAAACCCACACAGACACGGGGAGAACGTGCAAACTCCAGACAGACAGTCATCCAAGGCTGGAATCAAACCTGGGTCCCTGGCGCTGTGAAGCAGCGGTGCTAGCCACTGACCCACCATGCCACCCCCCAAAAAAATTAAAATCTTACAGTTCTGTACATTCCACTACCTTTAGGCTCTGATGACCTTTAATATTGTGGTGACTAGAACTGCATAAGTCATAGAGTAATACAGCATGGAAACAGGCCCTTTGGCCCAAACTGGTCCATGCTGACCATGGTGCCCACTCAGCTAGTTCCAATTGCCTGCATTTGGTCCATATCCCTCAAAACCCTTCCCATCCATGTTCCTGTCCAAATGTTTTTTGAATGTTGCTATTGTGTCTGCCTCAACCACTTTCTCTGGCAGCCCATTCCATGTACGCACCATACTCTGCATGAAGAGGTTGCCCCTCAGGTCCTACTTTCCCCTCTCACCTTAAACCTATGCCCTCTGGTTTTCAATTCCCCATCCCTGGGAAAAAGACAATATGCATTCATCCTATCTATGCCCCTCATGATTTTATGCACCTCAATAAGGTGACCCCTCAATCTCTACGTTCCAAGGAATAAAGTCCTATTCTAGCCAACCTCTGTCTATATCTCAGGCCTACTAGTCCTGGCAACATCCTTGTAAATGTTCTTTGCACATTTTCCCATTCAACTATGTCTTTCCTATAACAGGATGACCAAAACAGTTCACAATACTCCAAGTGCAGCTTCATCAAGGACTTGTACAACTGTAACATAACGTCCCAACTCCTGTAGTCAATGCCTCGAACGATGAAGGCCAGCATGCTAAATGCCTTCTTCACCACCCTGTTTACCTATGATATCGCTTTTAATGAACTATGTACTTGTACTCCTAGGTCTCTCTGTTCAACAACACTCCTTAGACCTTATCATTTACTGTATAAGTCCTACCTTGGTTTGACTTTCCAAAGTGCAACACCTCACACTTATCTGTATTGAATTGCATTTGCCATTCCTCAGCCCACTTCCCCATTTGATCAATTCCCTCTGTAGTTTTGTATCACCCACAAACTTACTAACCATGCCTTGTACGTTCACATCCAGATCATTTATGTAAATAACAAAGGTCACAGCATTGACCCCTGTGGCACACCACTAGTTACAGGCCTCCAGTCTGAGAAAGAACTTTTAACCATCATCCTCTGCTTCCTACCATCAAGCCAATTTTGAATCCAATTAGCTAGCTCTCCCCAGATCCCATGCGACTTAACCTTCATGACTAGCCTGGCCTTACTAAAGTCCATACAGACAACATCCACTGCTCTACCCTTATCTACCCTTTTGATTGCCTCTTCAAAAAACTCTAAAAGATTTGTCAGACATGACTTCCTGTGCACAAATCCATGCTGACTATCCCTAATCAGACATTGACTATCCAAATGTTGGTTACTCCTGTCCCTCGGTATCCTCTCCAATAACTTGCTTACCACTGATGTCAGGCTCACTGGCCTGTACTTCTCTGGCTTGTCTTTGCTACCTTTCTTAAACAATGGAACAACATTAGCCACCTTCCAGTCTTCCGGAACTTCACGAGTGGCTAAAGATGAAGCAAAAATCTCTGCAAGGGCCTCTGCAATTTCTTCCCTAGCCTCCCATAATGTCCAAGGATGGACTTGTTCAGGCCCAGGGGATTTATCCACCTCACTGTGAACTAAGGCTGAAAACACCTGCTCTCTGGTAATATGTATGCAGTCCAAAATATCCCTGCTTGTTTCCCTTATTTCCTTAGCATCCATGATTCTGTCCTTGGTAAATATTCATTAAAAATCTTTCCTTTCTCCAGTGGCTCCACGCATAGATGGCCATGCTGTTCTTTAAGGACACCTATTCTCTCCCTAGCCACTCTTTTACTTATGTAATACATTATTCAGGTGTGATATGGCAGTGCACTGTCCAGCTTCAACATAACTTTGGGAAATTTGAACTCAGCTGTTTTGACAATATAGCTAGTGTTCTATTTCTATTGTTGCCTCACAGTCTGATAAAGTTGTGAGCAACAAATTGACATAACACTGGTTTTTCTGAAGAAGGGTCTAGGCCCGAAGCGTCAGCCTTCCTGCTCCTGTAATGCTGCTTGGCCTGCTGTGTTCATCCAGCTCTACACCTGGTTATCTCTATAACACTGCTCGCTCTGTTTCAAGTTGTGTTTCACAAGTTCCATCCCATCCCATCCAAAATGTACGTGTGCCTCTTATTGTTAAATTTTGCTATGTATTAACTAGTATTATCCTATACTGAAAGATAAAATGAAACAGGCTACAGAGCAAAATGTTATTTTTGTAATTAATTAACTAAATGAGAACCATTTTGACCTCTTTGAGAATTGATTGCCGTGCCTACTCTGTGTCTCTTAGCATTATGTTATTTGCTAATTTAACTGTTGTGTTTGAAGACAGTGGTTAATATTACAGTTGGAGATAAGAAACAATATCTTTCTACATTTGAAATAGGAAGAATAATTCAGACATCCCATATCTTCATTATTTCTGTAGAGCAGAAAGAGATTGAGCACCCAGTTCATAAATTGCCCCCATCCCCTTGTGAATAACTTGTTCTTTATCAGTCTTTTGTTTCCGTCCCTTTAACTGTTTACAAATATATCTCAATTTGTAAAATCTGTTCTGAGGATTTATTTACTTATTGTCTGTTCTTGGTTGTGGTTGAAAAAAAGATGGTGACATTTCTTCTTGAACCACTGCATTGTCTCTATTGGTGATTTGTTGTGTTCAACCCAAACTGGGAAGAGCATTCACAACATTTCAACAAATTAGTTGTTCTAACAAAGAGCTGCTTTGGTTCTAAACTAGGTTCTCAAATTGCTAAAGCCAAAGTAACTTATTTGGGACATACAATGGGACAAAGCCAAGTAGCACCCAGAGAAGCAAACATAATGGTTATCTTAGATTTGCCAGTACCTAAGACTAAATGAAAGACTTTGTAGTTCATAGGCATGAGTTGATTTTATTGGATGTTTATTCTGAATTTCAGCACTGTATTAGCTCCCCTGACAATATTGTTAAAGATAGGCAAGGAATTATAAAGCACAGAGGAGTGTCAGAGTGCCTTTTACAGCTTGAAAGCTCTACAAACTGTTGTATTAGTTTTAGTGGTACTGAATTATGTTAAAACATTTAAAGTGGCTATTAATGCCAGTGACATTGGTGTTGATGCAGATGTATCAGAGCAGGACAAAATGGGATCAAAGACTAGTCTGTTATTTTTCTCAAACTTCGAATTCTTTCCTGTAGAAATTCCCAATATTTCAGAAACACATATTTCATGATCAAAACTGACTTATGTAGAATGGGACTTTCATGGGAAGTCCTTATGTAATTTATGTAAAAAAAGTTTTACTGCTAGATAAAATTTGTCTTAAGTAGCATTGATATAGTGATAAAGAGGGATTACAAAATAAAAGGAAAACGTCTCTTAATGATACCTTTGCATTTTTTCCTGTGGGTAGCTATTAGGAAAAATGTAAATCTTGAAGTTATATTTTCTTGTATTAAGAAGGGAAAATATGATTTTAGGTTCATTTTTGAAGTTGATTATGAGTTATAATTGTACTTTTGATGTGGATTTATCAACCTTGTAGTGAAGACTTGGGGAGCTGGATGCAGATGATTGGATACATTGGAAGAAACATTTTGCTTTTGCCTGCTAACAGGGATCCAGACATACAGAAACACTGAAAAATCCAGAATGCAAACAATATACATGTAGGTCAGAGAGTGGAAACAGGCAAGGTAAACTCTGTGTCACAAAATCCTGCAATACTGCTGAAAGTCGAGATTAGGGATCTCATACATTTACTCTGAAATTAAAGTAATAGTGAATTTAGTCTGCAGTTTTGTATTAGTTATCTCAGGGTGTCTCAGGGATCATTACCAACAAAAGCAAAGCATCCAGTGAATACACAGGAACTTGCCAGAAGGTTAGCAATTGCAGTTGTGCCGTAGTGTGGAGATAGTGAATCTTTGCTGGAGTGAGATGTTTGTGAGGTTATTCTTCGGAAAAAAGGAACAGTATAAGTTTGAGAGATAGTAGGAGCTGCAGATGTTGGAGAATCTGAGATAACAAGGTGTAGAGCTGGATGAAC